TCCCAGCACTGGAGAGGCTGAGACAGGAGGATCACTACAAATCCAAGCTGCATAGTGAGACCTGGTACCAAATACATAAAAAAATAGTGTTTTGTTTTGTTTTTAAACAGTGGAATGCCAGGTATGGCAGCACATGCCTATAATCCCAGAATTGGGGAGGCTGAGTCAGGAGGATCACTGTGAGTTCAAGGCCATCCAGGGCCACAAAGTGAATTCAAGGTTAGCCTGAGCTGTGTAGTGAAATCCTGTCTCAGAAAGACAAAAAACAAAGCAAAGCACCTATCCTTAAATATGTAAATTTGGGGAGTCCATTGCTCCATTTAAACACACATTCCTGTTTCTTTGACATCTACTCACTATTTATGCAGTCATTTAGATCATAAAGCAACCAATGTGAAGGCTACACGCCTCTTTTATAAAGCACCAGTATCTGGAAGTTTCATTAGATGGGGCTCATTTGCCTGGTGGAATCTCAATTATGTGATCCTATGATTGAAATTTTTCCAGCCTAGAGCTGGCAACTTACAAAGCCCAATTAATTTGATGTATGGAAGTACAAGATCCTTCCATTTCATCAGAGGTGACCAGTGTCCCAGTAAAGTCTGCTGTAAGAGATTTAGCACTAGCTACATCTCCGTAAGTAAGATATTGGGGCACTTTGTAAGCAGGAGTATAATCATGAGCCAGAATCAGAAAAAGCTGTCATAGACAGAAAGTAGACCAGAGAGAGACAAATTTAATGCAATTGAAAATAGCTTAGATCAGTCAATTAGTAGTCTAGTACATAAAAAGCTGGACATTGTGGTACATGCCTGTAGTTCCAACATTTGGAAGGCTGAGGCAAGAGGCTTGCCACCTGGGCTACATAGCGAGCGCAAGCCCAGCCTAAACTATGTAGCAAGGTCTAGACTTTTAAAAGAAAAACATTTTTATATTTCTTTCTACAAATATTTCTCTATATTTCTATGAGAGAGAACAATAAGTATTATTAGTATAATTATTACAATAGTAATTATATTTATTGTCAGGTGCCATACTATTAATTTTCTGCTGTCAACTTGGAATGCCACTGCCTGGATAATTGATAAAGACTGGAAGTTTATTTCTACCATTGTTGAGCTGCAGTGTTGAGAAGTCAAGACTATGGCCCCAATGGGTTTGGGTGTCCAGTGAGGGCCACATCCTCTAGGGGATAGACACTGCACCCTTACATAATGGACATGAGAGGGCAAGAGGCTTTCTAACTCCATTCCTGCAAAGAGGACTGGTGGCTAAAGGGCATTCATACTGGCAACATACAGATTGGTGAGAGGACATGTTCAGATTATAGGAGGCAGTTAAATAGTTTACCTTCTTAACACAACCCTGTAATGCTAACTAGCATTTGTTTAACACATTTTCTGTTTTGGCATCTGTGTGTGTGTGTGTGTGTGTGTGTGTGTATAAAAATGCATTTATCCCTTACAACAATTCTATCAATAATATACAATTATCTTCAGAGAGGTTAAGAAGTAATCCAAGGTAACACAGCTAGTAAGTGGTTCACTGGACTCTATGCCATATTGCCTCACCCCTAGGAGGCCTGCTTTTCCTGTCCTACTTCAGCAGAAAGAGCAGCTGAGATTCACAAAGGTAAAGTAATTTGCCTCAAGCACCATTCCTATAGGTAGAGCTGGGGCTGTCACTTTCTGTTTTTTTCTAGGATGACAGTTCCTAGGTACTTACTGTACCAATAACTGTTTTAAGCATTGGATCTGTTTTATTTATATGGTAGGAACTATTACTATCTCTATTTAAAGGAGAGTGAAGCAAAGCTTAGGAGCTCGGCCACAGTAACACAGTGAGCAGCAGAGCTAGCAGTTGACACACACACATATATA